TTCGAATGCTTGACTTGCTTATCGCCATTTGTGCTTGGCGCTCGTTTCGGTTGCAACTCGCAACTGCCCTGTGTGCTGTGCTTGCTCCGTTCCCCTAACTAGAGCGTCCACGGTGTCGTTCCTTTATATCTAGGTAACGGGGAATCTTTTACTGTACCAATAAAAGTTTTCCTGCAACTCGATCTGTCTTCTCGAATCGCTCTCTGGGCTCCCGGTACAGGCGACCCTCTAAACTGGTGACCCAGACTCTGGAACAATCCCCACGCCGGATATTTCGAACTTTTCTCCGGTGAGCTCGATCCATTTATTTTTCACATTATCCGATTTATTTTTGCACACGGTAGCCTATCTCTTGCGTCATTTTTTAAGCCATGGATTCTGTATACCATAAGGTAGAGTCTCTGCTTAGCGTTGTATCTCTCTCTGTGCCACCATTTGGGACATGGATCCTCTTTTGTGATTCGGTCATCTTAAGGCCGAGTTTTACATCCACAGGATCACTTCCGACTACTCGAAGTATTTCAAGCTCCTGTCCTATCTCCCCAAGGAGATATCAATGCAGGTGCGTGACGTTATCATTTCTCAGACCGAAAACAGCTATGAGGCTCTCAAAGAGGCCACGATCAAGCGTGTTATGCCCTCTGAGAAAGTTCGCCTGCAGCAGCTTTTCAGGGATCTGCAACGTGGCGACAAACTGCCCTCAACCCTGCTACGGGAGATGCAGCAACTCCTTGGTTCCTCAACCATGGATGAGACTTTACTATGGCTAACTATGGCTACAACGGCTACCGGAAAACACGCAAGCGATTCTCGCTACAGTGAGCTCCGTTTCGCTCACTAAACTACCAGACTTAGCGGCTCGAGTTATTGAACGATCACAGCCACAAGCTAACGCCAGCAAGATCAATGCCGTCGCGTCCCAGGGCACTTCTATCACTGGCTTACAGTTAACCATAGAAGTCCTGCAAATACAAGTTGCAACACCTGGTCTCCAGGTTCAACAGCTTACTATGAGCCGTCGTTGTCAGAGCCGCTCGAAATCGCCCTGCAAACGTTCTCAGTCTCGCAACAGACAAGCTAGCTGTTGGTACCATCAGCGCTTTGGTACCGCAGCTCGTAAATGTGTCACACCTTGCAACTTTGCCGAGAAGCAGGGAAAACCGCGTCCCGTCCCTAACGGCGAGGGACGCGACCGGCCAACACCAAAGTCGCCTCATCCGCGTTAGGGATTTAACTTCCGGCACCGAGTTTCTAGTCGACACAGGAGCCGAAGTTAGTGTTGATACCCGTAGCACAGATGAGGTCGTCTCGCCATCGCCGACTAAGCTGCGTGCCGCCAATGGTACGTCAATCGCCGAACTGTTCTAGTTGGTGGATAGAATACTAGATCGTGGAAATGACAGGTAGTATTGATACAGCGGATCAAGATACCGACAAGCGGAGTCAACAAAGTGTCAACAGGAAGTTCATGTGTTTACCAGACTCACTGGGGTATATCGGTTTCGTTGTTTCCAGCTTAGTGGTGATTGGCTGGACAGTTGTATGGTCTGATTGGATGACAGCACTCCATTTTGGGTTGGGCCCGTATACGACACCTCCCTCTGCTGTTGACACGTCTGCCTGTAGTTGCCAACCGTTAGGTATAGATGAAACTATCGGGTGATCGGCGGTCGTCTATGAACCGCATCCAAATCTGACATCAGCGCTAGGCTTTCGTTTTCCACCCGATCCGAATTTGCATTTGTCGGTTTCGGCAATGAGAACTCCTCCCGTAATAACTGAAAATCAAACTGGGAATTGTGACGAGGTAAATACTGATTGTTATCAGAGCGGTGTCTGAGCTGATTCATATGCCTGTGCCGTGTCTGACCGTTGACCTCTACTAGGTACGTGACTCGACCAATCCGTCTGGTGATTACACCTGGCGTCCATCTGTTTTGCGACGGCCGGAAGTCTCTTGTTCATACAAAGTCATCTGGTTTTAATGTTCTCGCTATTACGTGCTGTTTCACTTGCGCAGATTCTGTTGTTTCTGGCTTGGCTAATTCTCTCACCTCCGGAACGATTATGTCCCAAATTGACCTGATCTGACGGTTAAACAACATTTCCGACGGTGAACTTCCGTTACAAGAGGGGTGTGGTGTGATTCGATGCATCACTAGGAATGTGTGTATGCAATCGTCCCTGGCGCCGTCTCCTCGCCCTTTGATAAGTACACGCTTGAACGTGTCGACGAATGGCTCAACCTGACCGTTCCATTGCGGGTGAAAGGGGGGTGTGCGTACGTGTGCCAACCCCTTAGGAAGACAAAACGTTGCGAATTCTTCGCTAGTAAATTGTGGGCCATTATCGCTGACTAATGTCTCCGACATTCCGAATCGGCTGAATATTTGATGCAACTGTCTAATTGTTTCGACTGCAGTGGTCGTCGGCATTGTTACAACTTCTGGCCATTTACTATGAGTGTCAATCACGATGAGATAAAATTTACCATCTACTGGGCCGGCGAAACCAACATGTACTCTTGACCACGGCGTGGTCGCTGCTGGCCAAGGCACAGGGGCCAATTTGTTTGGTGAATTTTGCGTGGTCGCACTGTTTTCACACCGCGTACACAGCTGTGAGATATCATCATCCATCCCTGGCCAATACACGTAACTTCTAGCTAATGCTTTGGTGCGGGTGATTCCTTGATGGCCTTTGTGAAGTTGAGTGAGAATGGGCCGTTGTAAAGCTGAGGGAACAACTACACGTTCAGCAAAAAGCGAACACGAGTCAACGAACGACAAGCTGTTTTCGCACCGGTGATAGGGGATGCGTTCTACATCTGATACCCTCGATGGCCAACCTTCTTTCACGTGCTTCATCACCTTACGTAGTAGGCACCCTGCGATGTGTGCTGCAGGATGGATTTTAGCCAGAGTGGTAGGAATTTCGCGGTGTTGAGAATTACCCGATTGATCTCCTGATCCACTTTAACACTAGCAATCACCGTCTCGTTGTTGTCTGCTGGATGATCCGCAGTTAACCGAGACAACACATCTGCCTGCCCAAAAGCTGTGGTCGATTGGTAATGGATGCTAAAATCGTAGGCCAGTAAGGATAGATCCCATCTCCGTCGCCAGTTGATATAACCCGAACTGTTCTACTAGGTGGATAGAATACTAGATCGTGGAAATGACCGGTAGTATTGATACAGCCGATCAAGATACTGACAAACGGAGTCAACAAAGTGTCAACAGGAAGCTCACGTGTTTACCAGACCCACTGGGGTATATCGGTTTGGTTGCTTCCAGCTTAGTGGTGATTGGCTGGACAGTTGTATGGTCTGATTGGATAACAGCACTCCAGGTTGGGTTGTGCCCGTATACGACAGTTGCTAACGCTTAATTTAGACCCCCGGCGAACCTCTCGCTGGCCTTTCATAATCGCTGCCGTGCCTTATGCCATCCTAGGCATAGACTTGCTTCAACGCTTCGACCTCATCGTTGACGCTAAAAGGAAGAAGCTTATCGACTCCAGGACACAGCTCAGTGTTATCGGGACTAGCGCCAATGTGGCTGCTACCACTCCCATTCGTGTCCTACCTCAAGCTTCACAACCTTTTCTAGAACTTTTCAACAAGCATCCTAAACTCGTTCGCGTCCTGAACGACTTGCCTCCTGTGACATCAAACGTCATGCATCACATCTGCACTAAGGGTCCTACCTGTTTCGGCTAGTCCTCGCCGACTAGCCCCGGACAAGCTCAAAGCTGCTAAGGCGGAATTTGAGCAAATGCTCGAACTGGGAATAATCCGCCCATCCAAAAGTCCATGGGCATCACCATTACATATGGTGCCGAAGAACTCCGGTGACCGGCGCCCCTGTGGTGACTACAGGGCACTTAACAAAGTTACAGTCCCGGATAAATACCCCATTCCGCACATGCACGACTTGACCTCAGCTCTAGCTGGCAATTCTATCTTTGGCAAAGTCGACTTAGTTTGCGCCTACCATCAGATATCTGGGGCGCCAGACGACATTGCTAAAACCGTAGTCATCACGCCATTCGGCCTAGTCGAGTACCTCAGAATGCCTTTCGCCCTCAGCAACGCTGCCCAATCTTTTCAGCGTTTCATTCATGTGGTAACGCGAGGACTCGAAGGCGTTTACCCTTAGTTAGATGACATACTCATCGCCAGCTCTTCTGACGAGGAGCTTCGTTATCTTGACGCTCTCTTCCAACGTTTAATACAGCATGGGGTTACCGTCAACTCCGATAAATGCGAGCTTGGCCAAAGTTCCATCGACTTTCTTGGCCAGCGCATATCCGCCCCTTGTATTGAAGCTCTGCCAGACAAACTCCAGGCACTTAAGGACTATCCTGCTTCCAGTTCCTTCAAACAGTTGCGCCGATTCCCTGGCCTGGTCAACTATTATAGATGTTTTATACCTAACTGCACGAGCATTGTTCAACCAATGTCTGACTTGCTCCGCAGTAAACAACGGTCTTTTCACTTTGCAGACGACGCTAAATGGTCTTTTGAGAAGCTAAAAGACACTATCTCCAACACAGCGCTTCTCGCCCATCCAAACACATCTGCACCGCTCTCCCTGACAACTGACGCCTCTGACACTGCCGTCGGTGCAGTTTTTCAACAACTCATCGACCGTCGATGGATACCTCTAGGTTTCTTCTCGAAACGTTTACAACTTGCCGAATCGCGTTACAGCACCTTCGGTTGGGAACTGTTAGCTTTTTACCTAGGTATCAGCCATTTTCGTCACTATCTCGAAGGTCGACATTTTACCGTCTTCACTGACCATAAGCCATTGATCTACGCAATCAATGGCGCAACGGACAAGTATTCTCCGCGGGAAACTAGATACCTAGACTACGTTTCTCAATTTACGACAGACGTATGACAAATCTCAGGTGCTCTCAATCCCGTCGCTGACGCGCTTTCACGCATTCAGCAGATCAGCTTATCGTCTGGCACCAACCTTGATCTAGCGGCTATGGCTGCTGCTCAACCAGCTGGTCCCGACATCGACAAGCTACGGCGCAACACCACTGAGACGATCACCGTTGATCGACTCAAGCCAGCATTCCTAGACAAGTCTGACTCTTCGGTGCAGCAGGCATCTTCACAGCCGGCGCCATCACAGCTCGCACCGCAACCTCAGACGAGTCGGTCCGCTTCAGCAGAACCGACAACCTCAACCGACAACACTCCTACTCGCCCTACACTCAATCGACTCAGTAGGAAGCTCAAGCCTCCAGTTCGTTTTTCGGACTTCGTTGGCACTCACTATTTTACATAGAACGTGCCACTGAAAATTTTGCTCTTAACAAACGTTTTTGAAAATCCACAAAAAACACCAAAATGTTTTGAAATTACCAAGAAAGAGCAAAACCTTTTGAAAACCCAAAAACAGCTTTGCATGTTTTTCGCTTTACGCACTTTGGTGTATTGCTATGCATTTATGCTGCCTTTTCATTTTGCTTTCCATATACACCTTCGGTTGGTTACACCTCAGTTTCACTTTCGCTGGCTCCCCGCACGTTAATTGCAAGTGGAACGAATTTTCTGCTCAACCGCATACGTGAACTTTACTAACTGTCCCCCACAAACAGATTTTTTTACCGTTTCTACACCGTAGGGAGGACACGGGTGGGATCCCGGTTGGGGTCCGATTGCATGGTTCTCCCCCGCAGCTGCATCAGGTTTCATAACCTGGTCTCGCAGAAGGCTGTCCCGCGACGGACAGTCCTCACGTAGATCGAAGGACTGTTTAAACAATCACTTCTGGGAGAGGGCTATGTAGCAGTCTGGAGATTCCCCGGTTTGCCTGTGTAAAATTCTAACTAAACTTATTTCATTGCACACCTAGGCAACCGGTGTGGTTTGTTGAACTGATTGCTGAGTTCGAATGCTTGACTTGCTTATCGCCATTTGTGCTTGGCGCTCGTTTCGGTTGCAACTCGCAACTGCCCTGTGTGCTGTGCTTGCTCCGTTTCCCTAACTAGAGCGTCCACGGTGTCGTTCCTTTATATCTAGGTAACGGGGAATCTTTTACTGTACCAATAAAAGTTTTCCTGCAACTCGGTCTGTCTTCTCGAATCGCTCTCTGGGCTCCCGGCACAGGCGACCCTCTAAACACTTCCGCGCGAGCAGCGAAAACGTGTGCCGTCGTGTGAGTGTTGTAATACCCTAAATGACCAGCTTTCTGGCCCTCAGCAGTCTAAGTGTACACCTTATGGACGACCTTTTTTAACCCAATATATTTTCCAACGCTCCTGAAATTCAGCAATGAACGCTTCATGGTAAAAGTATCGTACACATGAAGCGGAAAAATGCCTACTAAGTGTAATTACGCAAAGCAGTAGGCAACTATGCTACTGATGTAGGCGCTATCCCAAGATAACGAGCCTTGGAGCCGTGTGCTATCATAACCTATTTGGGTCCTATTACGTCGACACTAAGCTTGCCACTGATAAAGCTGCTATCCTAAGTTCACGACCCTAAAGTCCGTGTGCTATTACAAGCCACCTGGGTCCTATTACGCTGACACTAAATTTGCCACTGATGGAGCCGCCATTTTAAGATAACGAGCCTTGGTGCCTTGTGCAATTCCAACCCACCTGGGTCCTATTACGTTGACACCAAATGTGTCACTGATGGAGCCTATGTACAACAACCACGAACCTTGGAGCCGTGTGCTGTGACAACCCACCTGGGTCCTATTACACTGGCAGCAAACGTGCCACTAGTCCAGTTAAGTTTTTAAAATGCTTTAATCCTAAAGGAGCGCAGAAACCGATATGCCAACTGTGCATTTTATTTAACAGAAAGCAGCGAGAAAAGGTTCAGCATTGTTCACTATATTCGTGCCTTGGACGCGTATGTCCCATGCAGGGTATCATTACACAAATAAACTTACACTCAACGCCAAGTCGCAGTTTACGACGAACATTGCGGACATCATCGCTGGTAATATGCTTTCCGAGTCGAACCTCGACGAACTGCATGATGTCGCCTGTTCGGGTGTTGTAGCGGCAAAGGTCCACGGACTGACTGAACCTTATCGTCCGTCATACGGCGGTTGCTAAGGTGTCGCTCAAAACGAAAGCGGTTACCTGGGTGGTTGTGAGACAGATGGAGGGTGGCGACTTTCAGCTTGCGTCCCGTTCTATTGAGGTTCACTCAAGCACGTGAGATGAAAGATTCAGAATAACAGAAACAAAATCCTACTAAACACGTCTTACTCCTGTACTTTTTGACTTGGGACATGCGCAGCGGACACATCGATAAATGACCCTGTCATATTTCACCCGCGATGCGTTACACTTTCTGCTGCCGTAGCATACGAACTTGTCATAATGAAGAAGCGTAAGGTCTGATAACATACAACTAAACACATCAGAACTGTCAAAAAAGGCCCAAGGAGGCTTCTCCGGAAATCAGACTCTATGGCGTACGGATTCGAAAATACCGTTCGTACCGCGTATCTGGTTTCCGGCACAATTAAACAATTGCAATATCGAATTTGCACAGAATTGAATAAACCTGCAAAGGCAGAAATATAGCCGGTAATAATGCCATAAAATGACCATAGATTGTTTATTACGCACTAGGTTTTGCGGGGTAACGGTGCTGCGACTACGTCGCGGCTCCGGAACCCTTTACTAGCCGCCTTCTTCCAGTCGTCTCCAGAGTGTAGTGTGGAACAGCTCCGCCACTTCTCGATCGTTGCGGAGAAAGCCTGGGTCATTGCGGAACAAGGTCCCACAGAGAACTACTGAAGCTGCATCGGAAACAGCTGTATCCCCGTATACTAAAACAAGGTTCCAATAGATGCTTGAAATGTTCGCCGGTCACGAAGTGGACGATGGACTCCGGAAGAAATAATAATAATATTAATAATAATAATATTGTGTCAGCTGTACGCCGTAACAGCGCTTCGCTGCCGCTCGACCACCACCAGTCGCGCGCCAGCTGAGCAGGTCGCGAGGACGCACACCCCTACGAGCATTCGAACCGGTGACTTTATGGTTACAAACCAAACGCGCAGACCACTCGGCTACCGGCCGAACTTCGGAAGGCGGTTCCAGTCATTTACAACGCGAGTGGATAAAACCAGGCTGGATCGAACTCGATGACTCCGTGGTTTGAACAATTTAAAACTGTGGCTTGTCGAAACCTCTGTGTTGAGATGAAAGAATTACTGCAATCCCCAACCTTTTCCTCTACGAATACGTCGGGTGAAGATCAAGTCTCTGAGATGACGACGGTAATCCAGGGAAAAGAGGTTCAGTTGTTTGATTCGGAGCGAATAGGACAGGCCTCGCAGCTCAGGAACAGATCTGGTACCATGCCATTGAACTTTGGAGAACATCTACGGGGGCGAGAACCAAGGGCGGATTATTCCAAGTTCAAGCATGTGCTCAAACTCCGCCCTAGCTACCCTTAATTTCTCGGGCGACTGTCGGCGTGGACGGTATGGCACAGTAGGCCATTCGTCCGTATGTGGTGTGTGACTTGAGCCGCCACGGGCAAAGCTGCGTTCATTGGCTGAACGAGCTTGGGATACGGAGAAAAGAGATTAGTGTAGTCTGGCGAGGTCTGGGGAATGCATAGACCGGGGATATAGGCGTGACATTGGCGGTGATGCCACGTGCACTGAGTTTTGTTGCAGTGTAGACTATCATTTGGCGCTTCGCATCGACCAAGAGGTCGAACTGCCTGAGAAAGTCAAAGCCGATGATGGCAAAGGGGACTGCGGCGACAGCGAATACGCAGCGGAAAGTGCGCCGAAGACCTAGGTCCAAGGTAAGTGACCGATGACCATAGGTGGCTATTGGCGTGCCATTGGCGGCACTAAGGCTTGTCGACAGAGAAGCGAGAGGCTCACCTGGCATAGGGAGAATGACGCTGACTTACGACCCGGTAACAAATAAGAACTGGGTATCGGAGTCATAATCCCTAATGTAGATGAGACGACTTTGGGCTTTGCCGACGTTCGGGGCCATTACAGCTCGGCGTGGCTGATCATCTATAGCGGCATAACTACACGGCTATACGCACTTACGGGCTTTAGTACCGAAACGCGAGTGGTAAAAGCAGTAACCTGTGGCATCAGGTTTTGTGCGACGGAGCGATGATCCGGAGCGGTTGCGGTGCTTACGGTTTAAAGTGAGTTCCTCGATCTGGCGCTGAAGCGACGCTATCTGCAATGATAATGCGTCTATGGCCGACGGCGGGCTAGTCGCGCCTGTCGTTGTGGTTGTGCCAGCGCAAAGCTGCTTAGGTACTGTTGATTCAGTCTCTGGCTGTTGCCGTTCGATGGCGCCGTCTGCTAGATCTGCAATTGCTGTGATGAGCAGGTCACCTGCTGCTGCAATGATAGCCTGTGTGCTTTCAGGAAGACGTTGCATCCACAGCTCGCGGAGAATCCCCACGTCCATGTTTGACGTGTCGATGAGCCGTTGCATTTCGCGCAACAAGGCTGAGGGCATCCTATCTCTTAGCTGCAGATCACTAAATAGTTGCTGTAGACGGACCTTGTCAGAAGGCGTGATTCGCTAAATAATAACTTTTTTAAGCCTTGTATTTCGCTACTAGAGGAGGCAAAGTATGAGGTCGCTCACCTGCGAAGATATACTTTGAGGGAGGCAAGATATTAACTAAATATACATTGCGAATTCAGAAGAAATCTTGCGAATATAAAAAACGGGTTCTAGGCGCAAAAACCATAATAAAAGATCCTTCTGCCAAAAGGGGCGGGCTAAGGCAACAGAATTGACCATGACCGGCTGAACAGAGTTAACCGCACATGGAGACGGCTTTTACATCCATTGCAAAAAGCAGATAAAAAGGTGGTAGGTGAGAAAACAATATGAGCACAAGTAGTGAATCAAAAAATCACTGGAACGAGCTCAACAGAATGAAAATGCAAAATGGCGGGCAGCGTGTTCTTGACAGGGGTCACCAATTGTTGGGCTGAGCCTGGGATATTAGCCGGTAAGCAATGGCACGTAATACGTGTCAAATACGACAGTATAGAAGTCGAAAGCGACTGAACACAACGTATATCGTGTAGGCTACAAGAATAGGAAATGAATCAGACAGAGCGAGCAACGTGCAGCGCGGTATTCACCAACACGGATTGTGTCGACGGATGTGCAGTCAGTAAAACAAATGGACGTTCCGAAGCTTAAAACAACCGTAAAATCCAATGTTATATAATACGGAAAGAGCTTGTTTCCCTGTACACTGCAACCTTCTCAATCATACCACATCCGAATTTCGTAAGAGGGTAGG